GCAACAGCTTGTTATTTATATTTTATGTATAGAATTTGTTAACTATATTTGTAAATTCACAATTACAAATATAGTTAACAAATTCTTCACAATTAAGGCAGTATTTCCGGTTGATTAACGTGGTATATTTAACATTTAAATATGGTAAATAAAATAATAGATGATACAAAAACATACGTCCAAAAATAACCACGGAAGCGTTAGCATAATCGTAAATCAGATTACCTTGATAAAGTTCAAAGTAGAATAATAAAAATGAGATCAGACGTTTACTCCTCATATACGACATTTTATAGCGTAATGAGCATTGCTTTTACGGTCAAAAAACAGTTTCCTTTTGGAAAAGAAGCATATTAATGCAATCTTGCACTTTTCATGACAGTAAAATTTAGTCGTATTCTCTTACCAAACATAAGCAGATTGCCTATCTCGGTCCTATGAGGAAAAATAAGTCCAGATGCAATTTTTCGATCTTTTAACATGACGATGACTTAACTTGATTGATGAACAATTTGAACACGAAGAGCTAGTTCTGAGAATTCAAGCTTCTATGATTATGCAATACAGGCGTCACCTTCCTGTAACGTCACCGGTCAATACCGCTAGGTCCTGGAGGCTACGCGTGCGGCGTCATTGCGTCTGGAACGCGACTATTGAGGCCACTACCCACTGACCGCGATTTACATCGATTGTTTTACGCTCACGTTTTACCACTTTTCTGTTTGTCATCCCTCCGTTTTTAGTTATTTTATGCATTTGTAGCCTAATCATTGGATTTTCTTAAAATTTGCAACAGTTTTAGAAGTTCAGTTTTATCTTTTATATTTTAGCCTATATTACTCTCAGATAACGTAGCTTTTTAATGCTGAAAGAATTTTTGAAATAGGCCCAGTAGTTTTGAGTTATTCCAATACATCCAACAATACAAATCTATCCTCTATTTATTGTTCATACTGTCTTTGGTAATGATGTTTTAATAGTCTTATTGTAAACAATCTTGTTTATAACGCAATACTGTTTTTGTCGTACAACATATTTCTGTTTGCAAATTTGTCCAAAACCTTCAGTATTTGAAGAGAGGCTGAAGAGTTAAAATGCATTCTGTTTTTTACTTCATCTTTATACAAAGAGACGCGGTGAGGGGACTTTGTTTTATAGTGTAGTTATATTTACAGTACACAATGTGCAATCAACAGCCGTAGACAATGCCTTCGGAATACTCTACGAGCACTTTTCGGAGGGAGGATTTTGAACGATCGCCAATAGTCTGACTCAGTGCCAGCCTCTAGTATCCTTCCTTTTATTTTAACGTTAAACTTACTGTACTGCAATGTTTCCTGTATACACTAACATTTTATTTAACATCATTTTAATTGTTACGTAATCATTGACGTCTTCAGACTGTGTTATATGTAATGGCGTTAGTATATTATTTAAAATGATAATTTCAAACTACTATCTGTATACTACCTTTTTAATCTGTTATAAATCCTTACCATATAACTTCTATCACAGTCTCGTTATACTTGTAAATATTGTATAGCTTTTCTGTATAACGTACTGTATTCATTTCATTTTCATTAATTAGGTTTGCGAAAGGACGAAGTTAAAAACTCCAATTAGCCATCCAAGTCGACTCGACCTAATTTCATACCGCAATGCAGCTAATTAGCTGGCAAGGATCAAATGACCTAAGCACAACTAACCGACATAATTCTTTTAATTAGTGCGTGCTCTAACTAAAGATCCGTCAACTCATGGATTAAAATGCAGTTTTAAAATATAGAATGTTTTTGTATTTCCTTATATCGATATAGACAGATAGTATTTGTTTAACATTGCAGTTACTAGTATTGTACGTGTTTACTTAACTAAATTCAACTTGTGGATAAGTTGCCGTCAGTTTAAGTCGATATTAAACTAGTGCAAGACATTCAATTTAGCAATCACCTATCCTTACTATTTGTTATCTATTCCTAATAAGGTAGGAAATCTGTTTTTGGCAGCACATCCAAGAATAAAAATCTAATTGCTTAGTTCCAGTATGAATATGAAAAACCTAAGTATAATATACGTTTGATGGTAGAATTATACCAGTTTTCTCGTAGTAGTAAAAGGCAGTATGATGCCCATCAACTCAGTATGAAGCATAGAATATTAAACATTTCAACAGCACGTGTTTCAACCACTGGGTCAAATACGGATTAAATGCGGACTCCATTGTTGGTACGACTGTATGCGTATGCATTCACACTCGTTGGATTAATTCAATGCACACACTGTTATAGAATGTGCCGACAGTTAGGATAGTTTCACACGAAGACAGAGCACAACATTACTGCATACGTAAATAAAATCAAAATTTTACGGAACTGACAATTTTGCTATACTATGAGCTTGTCTTGTGTTTGTTCCTATAAATTTTGACAATTCTGCAAGCGATCTGTACTTTTCTGTCTCGGCGTTGTGTCTTCAAACAATAGCAGTTCTGCTTCCCCGTGCTGCCCTCGTGTGAATCTTTGCCGGGCTATCTTCTGCTTATAACGGTGTCATTATAGTGACAGCACTGTAAGCGTGTCTAATAATTTCGCTTTGTTGTGCGGAATTGAGCTTGATCGACGTACCGTGCTTTAACGGAAACCATTTGATTGGTTTTACAGCAAATTGTATTTTTTTGCGGATATATTTATAGAAAATTTATTCAGTGTTTTGTGCGATTTCAAAAGTTGTCGACTTTTTAGACGCTATTTTTAGTCTTGGTTTTTCATTAAATTGGCGATCTAATTGGTTTTTTAAAAGAAATATGAGCAAACAGTACAGTTGATATTTGATAATGTTTATTTACATTCACTTTGAAATTGATCTTGCTTGTTTCTTACTTCAAGAAATCGTGATACTGACAGGAATTATGATTAAGTAGTGACCTAATTTCGTTATACCAAGGAACTGTACGATAAATCATACATAATAGGTCGTTGTGTGCCCACTGAACTGTGTGTTGCAAAATTTCGTTTGCTGTTCATATTAGGAACAAAGGGTCGCTGAATTCCCCCATTAGTATCGTAGACTTGTACTTTTTCTCATGGAAAGTATGTTTGTTACCTTATACTTTATGTTTTGTTGCGTTGAGTTTCTTTGAGGTAATTCAATGATAGAATACCTAACCATCGGTTGTTATTTAAACACCTAAAGATAAAATTATTGTCGTCTCTTTTGTTTTTTTGTCGTCTGTCATTTTTTTTTATTCAGGATTGTAACGGAATGTTTCGGTAGTTAACATTACTTGAGTTTTAAACTATTATTCCCTAGCAGCATTATAAAAGTCAAGGATCATAACTTTGTTATATAAAAAGCATTAACTAGTTAGTCATGTCCGGTGCAATAAATAATTAGTAACCTAATTGATGGATGTTGCACAAACTTGTTTTTATCCATAGATATTTTTGTCTGCATTGGAATACAAACATTTTACTGCAACAAATAAAAAACAACTGCTACAGGTTTAAAAAATTCTTTGAATGTGAAAGTTTAAATATCTTTGTTTATTTTATAAGCCAAATTCTGAATTAGTGAATTGTTGCACGTTTTTGGTCTGATCATTTGTAAGAGACAAGTACAGTTTATACGTGAATGTTTTATTAAGTAACTTAAAAGTGGTTTGTGGGTTACTGGGATATGAATAAAATTGGTGCTTTTGTTTACTTATTGGAAAGGATGGATTTTTAGTATGTGACTTACATTCTCTAGTTAGAAATTTATTCAATTGAAATATTATTAGTAAAAAGTTAATTTCCGGCTTATCTGACTTGCCCTATTCTGTTGTTGTTTATATTATTAAGCAATTCTCAAGTTTAATTGTAACTGATATTAGCACAACATACTATTATTTCAGAAGAGGTACATAATAAAAGTAATATAAAAGCCGTACAATCAGGAAGAAGCTTGAATAAAAACATAATAAAACATATGATTGTGTGAGTGCCGGTATATAGTTTGAGTCAAAAGGTCACAATATAATTCAAAAACAGGTTTGGTTTTAGCACTGCCTTTTGTTTGATGTAAATAATGCGTGACTCATCGACTATTAGGGAAAATAAAGTATGTATCAGGATGTACGTACACACGGGTAACCTGATGCTATCACTGCTACCCATAGACATCTGCAACAATTAGATGAAATAAAATTGTATTACCATCCTATTGGAGGGTAAAGAATCTTGAGAAGGAAATTGATACTAGGCATAGGTAATGGTAATAATCTCACTAACCTGCTACTTTTGCTACTAAATTGAGTTCAATCAATATGTCTATAGTTGTACATTATAATATTGAAAATATAAACAATCATTGTTAGTTGTAAAAGGCTGCGTAATGTAAGCTTACTTAGAGAGCTTGCCGTAAAGCGCCTAAGATAAGTTACATTAACAAATTATTATGGCAGCAACAACTTGGACTTAGTATCAAAGTATATAAATTCACCTTGATCCAGTGGCCAAGGTAGTTTTCTCTATTTCATTCATCATTCAAATTGTACAATAAGCATGTTAAATTTAATACTTCTTGATACTTTTTAATATCTTCAGAGATTTTAATATAAGTCATTGTAACTACACAAGTAATTACTATGTTTATTTGAAATTTATTTAATGATCGATCAATAGCGTTTCTAAATTAATATTATATACATTAATAGTCACGGATTTAAACGCATGCAACATCTTGTAAAATACAGGGAGCGGCCGATTTGTTAATATTTAGCCTTGAGCTGGTGCACTATTGACTATTGCACTAAAATACATAAATAACACAGTATGCAGATATGTGTTTAAGTCATCTTTCAATGTTTTCATATATTTAATGCCTTACCTTTACCGTTGAGTTGTTCCAAACTAAGCATCAATTAAAACATATTCTTTTCTATTCGGTTAACATTCTCGTATAAAGCAACAGACGTAAAAAAATATGAAACAAATTCTAACCTTAAATTTTAATTTTTTCAGTTCGTTGCCGCCATGTTCAACTTCATGAAGAAATCGAGTGTCCTCGCGCACGACTCTGGCGGCTGCGAGGAGCGCGACGGGGACAAGGACAGGAGAAAGAAGGAGAAGAAGGAACGCAAAGAGAGGGAGAAGAGAGAGCGGATAGCGGCTGGACTCGAAGAGCCGCTACGATTGGAAGAGGTAACATCTCTATTTGTCATACTAAACCTTAGTTACGATTTTAAATTGGTAAATGTCAATTTGGGAATGAAATTTTCACACTTTATCAAAAGTAGTAATACTGACTGGCTGCGTGGCGCTGTTTCGTAAAGCAATCGCCTATAGAAAAAAGACGCGCGGTTCCATACAAAAGCAGACGAGCGCATCCAGTGTCGAGGTTAGCTGTTAAGTGGAAATAGGCTTTTTAGGACCTTTTCAAAGGAAACAAACAATAGGATGCCACGAGCAACAGCTAGTATAAAAAAGAGTCTTTTAAATTATGTGACAAATCGTTAAACTATTTCTTGTAGGTTTTTGCGTATTAAGAACACTAGAATGCTAATAAGGCTTCTCTAGTATATTGATCGTTTTGTTACCTTTCTTTTATGTATGCGTCTCTTATAAACGAGGCCACAGTAAATGATCTGACGAGCAAAACCTTTAAATCTAATTAATATCGATTAAGGTATTCACTATTAGTAAACTGAATTACATACTTTTAGATATGAAATAACTATGTTACTTACACAGAAGGCAGGCTAATGTTGCTAGTTTTATTACCACCAAATTTTATTATGGCGTTGATCATAGAACTTTATATGCCTATGGCTACTGCGCTGGTAAAAATTAGTCACGTATCGCTCTATTTTTTTCACAAAATGACTAGATTAAGATCGATGGAGATACAATTACCGGCAGCTGACTTCGTAACAGTCTGTTGGTTTTGGCAGCTGCGCATTGCGAACCATTACGCGTATTGAACCGAGTTTTTTCTTATTACATCAGTTGTTTACTTTACTCTGTCCTTTAGACAGCTGATGTGAAATGCCATTTTGCTCATCAACTCATCAGTTAACATTCTTTGTCTGTAAAATGTAATACAATTTGTTTTTTCTCTGTACACGTTTCCATCGGAATGAATACGACACGGATCGAGAGAGTTTAAAATATTACCTACTGCCAAGTTTCTTTCAATTGTTTACGTCCATAAGAGTATGTTGCATTTATCATCACGTACTTATTCTAAATGTTAGTCCATATGTTTTACAAATTCCAGTTTGTTTATACTCAATATACAGTTATTCAAAGGTGGTAGTTGGCCATGGTTATGTCTAAACCGGTTTCGATCTAACGCTGGCCGGTAACCGTAAGTGGTTTCACCGCTATTTTTTGCCAGCGTGCAGTATCTAATATGCTATTTGAATTCAAATGCCAATATGTCGCGGTCTTCAAGGTTTCAATGTTAATAATCGTTCTTGGCGATAACTTTATAACCTTAGGGTGCTGTCACATGGCTTTGCTTGCGATCACTAATTTGCATCTTAACTTAAATCCGAAATAAACGTCACCACTAAATTCAATGTATTGTTTGATTGATCGGGATGGTAGACTAAAGAAGGCACATCTCCTTACTTTTTAAGACTAAGTTGGCTTTCGAGCTTCTTTAGGCTTTTTACCCGTACTTGATAAATGGTCTGTCCTATTAATCAATACATCAATTGATAGTTCTCACAAATGTCTAATCTTTCATTGTTTTTTGAACTAGAAAATAATCTTGGTCTTAAATCGGTGCAGTGTGTACGCTTCCTATACTAGAGTAGTGATTAATTCGTGACTCGCGTAGTCTAGTCTGGGCTACACGATCCAGCGCATATGTTTACGATACCCGATGAAATCCGATGCCCAGATGACATCCAGCCAGCTTTGGTCGGTTGCTTTATTTACGTTCATTTGTTTAAAACAGTAAACATTGGGAAGGTTTACATAATTGATGTGGATGGCCACATATTATCTTATAAAAATACTTTAGCGTCTATCTAGTGATATTGGAACTTTATAACATCCGTGTTTGAGCTTTAGATAATCGAAAAATTTTAAGTTATTTTAATTATAAGTTTCCACAGCTAAAATATCTGTACAAAGTCATACCGTCAATTTAATAACATACTGTAGCATGACATATTAAGCATTGTGGTACAAAGTACAATAATATTAATGTGAAACCAAAACAAAAGGTAGATTTATTAGCTTCGGCCGGTTTCGTGCAAGACTTTTGCAATAGGTCGACGGTTACTGTTACTATTGCTATGGAAAGTGCATTGTTATAAATGTATTACCAATATTGATGCTGATTTAATCTTAAAACTAATAAAAATAATTTGTGGTTCAATGCTTTATTAGACTCTAAAAATCTATTTCTACTGTAATAACTCAGATTTCATCGAAATAATTAAACTAAAGTAAACCCTTCAAAGACTTGGAATATTTTGAAAAGTCTTTCGTCCGGTGGTAATTATCAAACGTCCGACGCAGAGCTTGTTTGTGCCCTAAAACGAGTTTTACTTTATTGACAGAGCCTATAACACGGTAATTAAGTTTTCGCATGTTGTCGGAAACTCTTTGACAAATACTAACAAGATAATACGTTTTCTTGACATCGATATTACTTGAGTTTCGCATTATGTTATCGGACAAGTCCCTGTCATCGAGATAGTGAATCGATTTCTTCGATAACACTGTCAGTGATACATTATGTGAAGTGTTTAATGTTTTTTATCCGTATTGATTATCACACGCTATACCTGGATTATTATTGGGAATGCATAGTTGGAAACGGTTAGGAAAAGTCGCCTAAACATCTTTCTGCTTTAGTCTAAGTAGGGTTGACACAAAGTTTTCTAAATCGGTTTATTATTGACCTTTCACACAATCCATTTATCTCTTGTAAGGTCTATTCCTTACACTGTCTTCAAAGTTTAATTTAAATGTAAAAAAGTTTAATTATGAAACTTAATTGTTTCTGAGTATATTATCTCAGGCAAGCTCTCCCTTTTAGTTCCGCATCCGTATTTACCGTGCATTTCGTCTTTCAATGAATCATATAGCGGGAACTATTGTTTACTCGTCCTATAAACAGTGTACATACTTTAGTAAACTAAATAGTGGGGTGATAATAGATTAAGAGCGGTTAGAACTTTGTATTTATATTGGAATTACATAAAAATTTAAAGTATAACGAGTGTATGTGAGTAACGTTTGAGCTGTTTGTGTGCTCGTATTGATCTACAATATTAAGATTGTATTAATTTTGGACAGTACCTGATTTATTATAATACTTTGTGTGGCATTATCAAGTACAAATGTGTTACATTACGGTGCATTGACCTTAAATGTGACGTAATGCATCACGTCATTGCGCACTTTGAAGGTACGTGACGATTGCCCGATAATTGACACTAGAGTATTTCGAAGGGAAATTGATTTCTTTGTTCGCCGATCTCGTAAAAATTAATGAACGTAGGAGAATGCAATGGTCAATCAACGCTGAAAATTGTTAGTGAATGGATAAACTCTTATAACGGTTACATTTTTTTAAACATGTCAAACGAAAATAAATGTAGATTGTGTACGACCGTTTAGCTAATCATAAAATACTCTGAGTGCCACTGTTAAAGTTTCCTTTTATTCTTTTGGAAATAATTAATATATTAGAAATTCATACTTTGTCTGGCCTTTAAACGACCTTTTCAATAAGTTCGACGTCCGAGCTGAATTGTTTGCGTTTTATAGGTGCATCCGATCGTTTAATTGTTTCGAACGTTTGGTAACAACACGCTCCGGTTTCACCGGACGCACCACGTTTGTCGGCCGACATTTAGGACACTGGCCCTTAAACAGATATTCAGGGTGTCCATGATGTTTGGCGAGACTGTCCGAGCAGGTTGGATGCGGTAATGGCACTAGAAAGTGAAACCAAACGGCTTTGAGTTAAACTGTCATGGTATAAATATTCTTCTTAGAACTGGAATTGAGAAAGTAATTACTAAGTATGCCTCTTGTACATCAGTACAAGGGCATCAGCCCTGGATTAACACAGAAAGGTTTATCCTGTCTGTCTACCTGTTATAGGTATATATGATAAGATTGAATGTATGAGAAATGTCTGGAGAGTTGGGCTTTAAGTAGGCCGTTACGGTCAGTGGTCGGGGCCGAACGGTGTACGATGTGTTATCTGATCCGTTGAGAAACTAGTTAAAATTATAATATAAATTGATTTTTCTGAAGTAATAAGAAAATTATGTGTTAGCGAAACAAATTAATGGATCAGACAATTATCGTAAAAGCACCTAATGAATTAAATCCTCTCTGTGCAAAATTGTTAATTACAAGATAAATAAAAAGCATTATTAAATCATACTAATATTATAAATACGAAAGTTTAAATAGATAAATGGATGTTTGTTAGAGTTTATAGCCTAAACGGCTGAACGGATTTCGATGAAATTTGGCATAGATGTAGAGGATAGTCTGGAAGAACACATAGGCTATTCAGTTTTGTTTTTTTTTTAATTTCACGCGGACGAAGTCGCGGGCGAAAGCTAGTTAAACATAAAACAAAATATTTTTATCTTCACCTACTTATGATGTGTGATGTGATGAACATATTTCTATTTGACATTACTTGAAGTAAAGGCGCTGTCATTTCCCAGTCGGACTAAGCAATTCCTGTAATTACTATTCTAGAGGTCTGGTTTATATCCTTTATTGGATTAAAGGCGTGATAAAACTTGCGTGATATTATTGTATTAAGAGCTGTTAGCTTCCCCATGTCGAGTAGATATCAATGTCATTTCGGTGGCAATTTTGAAAATGCACTATAATTGAATTGGTGATTACTGTTACTGTTTAAGTATCGAATAAAACACTCGTGTTCAGAATAATACTGATAGAATTTTATTTAATATTGTTCTGGTTTTTAAACAATAGTCTAGATGTGGATTTTCACATCAAATTATCTATTCTTCTATACTAATGTTATAAAGAGGAATGATTTGTATTTTTATATGTATTGAAATAACTCGAAAACTAGAAGGCTGATTTGAAAAAATCTTCCAACATTAAAAAGCTATCACTGAATAACATAGTCTTTTACTAATCTTTAATTCCACGTGGAAGTCGCGAGCAACACCTAGTCGTATATA